CGGCAACGCCCATCCCCACAACTCCTGAGAAGATGGCGGGGGGGGGGGAGGCACGCTGGACCAGTCCGAGGGTGCATGCAGCCCAGTGCCCCCAGCACAAGTGGCCACCGGGCTGTTCACTGCCCTGCCAGCAGCATCCATGTATTCGGGCCCCTCTGGCCCCAAGTCTCTACAATTGGTGCGCACAGGCAGCCTGGACTGCACCCAGGACCCCGAGGACTGGGAAGGATGGGTGGCCGCCTCTTTGAACGTTCCCACTGAGGACGCGCGCAAGCATCCCAAGTGGGTTGAACCATTAGGCACAATCTCATGGTCTGCGGATTCAGGTGGGTTGCATTCAGAGGCTGCCCAGTCTGGATTGCGTGATGGACCCACCCATCCACCTCCTCTCCTTCACTGGTCAAACCTGTTGCAGAGGAAAGGCAGGACTCCAAAGCTACAGAAACTGGAAAAGCTGCACAGGGCTCAGCCTCCTAAGAGATCTGCAGTCCATACTGAAGAGGGCACGGCCTCTGCTGAGAACTTGCACGCTGAAGGTGAGGGTTCAGGTGGGCACGCACCCAGGGGGCACTCACTTGAAAAGGACACTTGTTATTTCCACTCTGCGATGACGACATGCCAAGCGGCAGTCGAAATGTGGCTGTTCAGTGCTCCTTGGTTGACTGCTCTAGAGAGAACGAGTGAAGGTGTTTACGCTGCTCCCAGGCAGGAAGGAACACTGTGAGGCACGTCAGGGTCCTCCTGCCAGGAAGCACAGAGATAACCAGCCTCATCCTCTGCCTGGAGATCTGTGATCCCTCCTCCTCAAGAAGGAAAGGGACAAAGAAGAATCCACAGAGCTCTGCTCCTCCCCAACGGAGATTTGAGATAAAGATGACTGTTCTGTGCCGGGACCCACAACCCAGCGGGGTCCCAATGCTGCTTGCAGAGGACTTCATTAAGAAACGCACACTGAATTCTGCACAGAAATGGATGCACAAGGGAGAGTCATCATTGCATGGCTGCTGTGTACGAAATATGCTGAGATGCACTTTGTCTTGGAAAGGTGTTTTCCAGCTCTGCTGGTTTGCTTTAAACATTTGAAAGAAGGCTTTGGCAGATGGCAGGGTTGCTCACTATGGTAGAGGCAGATGGGGAAGAGGGATGGAACCCCATGGGAAATGACATGGTTCCCAACTATAAGGTCCAGTCCCAGGCTTCACCCTTTCAGTCCTTGCTGCGTCAAGACTTCCAGCCCAGGACTGCATGTGGGGACAAACAGATCGTCCTTCGAGCGAGGAGGAAACACAGCAAGCACCAGATGTTGCACTGAGCCACGCCACTGTTGCTCTTCCTTCCACGGTCTTTGCGGAGTAACAACCAAATTGCAGAGGTGGAGCGTCTCTCTTTAAGACTCAAAGTGTGGCTGAACATCCACTCTTCATTCCCTGCTATGCACAACACACAAACTCAATGTGTTTGGAAGCTTTGCTTGATGGCAGTAAAGAAATCAGCAAAGGACCGCCTATAAAAGTGTTCTCCGTAGTCATGAAGGACTGGCTTGTTCTGAGGCCCAGAGTCAAGGAGAGAGTCCAGGCTGGGTGCAGAGACCCCCGGTGCCCCCTTCTGACTCCACCCCTCCCCTCCCCTCCGCTCCAAAGGGCTCCAATGGGACCTAATCACATGCAAACTGTGGAAAGCGCAGGGTGAGAGAAGCCTGAAGGGAAACAGCATCCCCAAGATGCTGGAGGAAATCAGCAGCTGCCACGCTTCCCCTCATGCCAACAGAGCAGCCGCACCTGCCTGAGAAAGCCCTAAGCCTGCACTGATACCCTGCGAAGGTCGGGAAGTCCAGGAGACAGCCCAGGCCAGGGAGAGCGATCCCTGGCACCCCTTCAGACTCCCCCCTCCCCTGAAAAGGGCTCCAGGAGGACGTGCTCCCGGGGCAACCGGGAAAGGTGCAGTGTGGGAGAAGCCCGAAGCTCAGAGCAGCATGTCTGCTTCCCCCTGCTGAGAATGGGGCCCAGTAAGAAGAGGCATGCAGGACTCCATTTTGTCTCAGTTGCCTAACAAGATACACAACAGCGTACTGGGGGTGAGAGGACAGGTGGGAACCCACAGTGATGGAGAACCAGAACATTCACAAGGGCTGAGCCACCCAAGAGACCTGCAGCTCCGCACCCGGTATCCTCTTCAGAGCCCCTGGTGGGCTTGCTTCCTGCCCCACTGCACAGCTCACGCTCCCCATTCAAATCGAGTGGCTTGCTCAAGAAGCGCCGGGGAACCAAACAAGCTCCACAAGCACAAGGAGAGCAAGGCAGGGTCCCTTCAACCCAAGTACGTGGTGCAGCACCCTGGAGAGGAGGAGTGCCGGTTTTTGTCTCAGTTCCCCATCCAAATGTACCACTGTGTAGCATGTTGCTGCTGCCCTCCCAGGCAACACAGTAATAATCAGCCTCATCGTCGGCCTGCAGATTTGCGATGGAGAGATGGCCGGTGTTGCCAGAGCGGGAACCGGTGAACCGGTCCGGGATCCCATCTCCCCTGCTGCTGTCAGCATAGATCAGCATGCGAGGGGCCTGACCCGGTTTCTGCTGTAACCAGCTGAAACCGGACCAGCTGCTCCCACCACTTCTGTCGCAGGAGAGTTTTGCGGTTTGCCCCAGAGGCGCGGACAGGGAGGACGGCTGAGTCAAGGCAGGCTGCGAAGAGGCCCCTGGACAAATCAAAAGGAAACAGCAATTACCCCTGGTCCAGGACAATCTCAAACTTAGCAGACTTATTGGATGAGCTGGTCTCTGACCCTGAGGCCAAGTGGAGGGGATCCCTCCCGTCCTTACATGCACAGAAGTGGAGGAGGGCCAGGAAAAGCAGAGCCCAGGCCATGGCGAGCTCTCCAAAGGACTTTGGCTTTCCGGAGCAAAGTGATGCTTGGGTGGCCCCTCTTGCTCCTTAAATAGGCTAGAGCAGAAGACCCGCCCCTTCATGCAAAGCTCCCCCCACTGTCCTTGGCTCTGCAAAGCCAACACATCTTCCCTGCAAATGCACCGCACATCTATAAAAGGAATGCAGTGCGGCTGCTCGACCAAGCAAAACCTGCTTCAGTGTTTGGGCATTTTGGGGTGGAAACGGCCCTTTGGCAGCTTTCCTGCTGCAACTGTGCAAGTCAAGGGGACAGAGAGGGCGGGGGACCAAGGATGGAAAGCCAATGAACACTGGCATGGCGTTCACACACTAGGCCAAATTCCATGCTCCCGGGTCCCCAACGCCAGAGTCCGCCAACGCTGGTCTCCTTCCGAGTGGCTTGGCTGAGTTCACATGAGCAGCCTGGATCCTACCTATGGGCACTGCTGAACAGATTCCCGGCATCCTTCCTCTCCGTGGCACAATGGAAGGGCTGTCTTTCCTGACCAGACGTTCTCCAATCAGCCCAAGGGTTGCCAGAATATTTACAGAAGGGGGTTCACAGGAAAGGAGCCATGAATCGGTGCCCCTCTTCTGATCAGGC